TGTAAGGCGAGATGAATTCGGCACGGTGCCAAACCGTTCTCCATCAGTCCTTGAAACGCGGCGCGGCAAGACTGTATCATATATTTAATCGTAACACTCGTTTTCTACCAATTGTTGTCGCACACCCGCTTCAACAACTGGCAGAGAACGGGTTTGGCGCCGTGGCACACTCATACTGCCTGACACGCCCCTTTTTCGCAGGAAACTAAAATTATGAAACACATTGAGGGGGTCATAAAACGAGACCACGGAACTTTGTCGTATTAGTCGCACATAAAAGCAATTAATTGTATGCCGATTACTGCAGAGAAATCTGGACGGAATATGAGAACTTTTTTCACAGCAACGGGAACAACATATAAAAGTGATTCTGACATGTTGTGAAATGTTTACATTGCGAGTTGTTTCAATTACCAAACAGCACAGCGTCTTGTAGGATTCATCGGAGTGCCAACAGCACATTTGAAGGCTGCAGCAAACTCTGGCTGGTTGGCCAGCACCTGGTTCACCCTGGAAAATGATAATCGTGTGCAGGAAACAGAGTAGTAGGAAACGATCTAGTTTCTCCAGTCAGTACAGCTGATCGGATCTTTCAGGGCATTGGAAATTTGCGCATGACCTTTGCCGCAAAATACAAGTGCCGTTTTGATCAGCCGCAGCTGCAGCGAGGGGCACCAAAAGTTGAGAACAACACTCTCTCTAAAGGTGACAACTGTCCCTCAATGATTCGCGATGCAGAAATTATCACGAGTGCTCCGTTATGGGCTGCAGACTTTGTTTCACAATTCATTATTTTATCTGGAAGAAATAATGGCAGCAAAAATCAGTAGATGCTATAAAATTTTTGCTCTGCTTGAAGAAAAAATGCGGAAATGTCGTGATCCTATGGTAATTTTCAAAGATTAGAAGTAGACGTTAGACTTTTACCTTGACAAACCTAAAAAGCGAAATATATTGTGTTTATTCTCACAGATGTATCCCGAACTCCAAACAAAAACAAGAAATTAGTCGCGTTTCATCTCCTACTACTAAAAAGTGTAGATGCCAGTTTTGTCGGTGTCAGCTGATTGAAATGCTGCAATTATTTGCGAACGATAATTTTGTTGATTTCAAGAACTTCTGGACCTGAGTTCACGAACGAATGGAATCGGTTAACGCACTTCTGTACGAAGGAGTTTATGAAGGGGCACCATAGACTACAACCAGATGGTCACTATAGTCTTACAGAAGGATGACCAAAAAAGTTCCAGAAATGAGACTTACAGCATGGTTTTTATCTACAGAATAGATCAAGCTCTTTGAGAGTGCGGGAGTTCATACTACTCTTGTGCGGCGAATACTGTGGAAATCAAATATTGAAGCCTCTATCAAGGGTAATGGACTCCCCTAAACTAAAGAACTGTTGTAAGAAGTTTATGTGCAAGCCGAATATGCATTTAGATGCTCCTATTACTCTAAACAAGAATGGCCACATGGCGACTCCCAAGTAAATCAGTGACAACCGTCAGCAAAATTCATGTTTTACCATTGAAGAAGTCACTGGAGTGTGCGACAACGACTCATAGTTGGTCTCAACTGGATCTTAACTTGATTTGTCTCTTATTTATGCGGGCTACCGTAACCACCTGGTGTTGAAACATTCAACGAGGTACGATCGTGTTATTTGTTTTGTAAAGATGAAAAAGGTGCTCACCGATACCGCCGTGGTGGGTGAGGATTGGTAAGAATGATATTTATGAGTTCGTCTTGCGTTTTATGGCCACACCAGATCTATAAAAAACTAGCGCTATGGAATGAGCAACGCAAAGAATCTTCTATTAATAGAGTACTGTCGCGTATCCAATGAAGAACATCTGTTCGTTGTTGTAGGTATCCAGCCCTGCGATTCTCCTCTCTTCTCCGCATATCTCCAGATATCTCTCGTACGCCTGAAAGTTCGCATATCAGCGGCAAGATAGAGGATCAGAATGGAACTGCTGAAAGGGATGAACTGAAGTCATGACAGCATTAAGTTGTTACAAACCACTGGATAGCTGAGAACTTTCGCTGAGGCTCTCTACATCAATGCATTAGACTTTTCAGACAACGCGTTACGCTCCGATCCCTTTTATGATAGATACCTATTATCCTATAACGAAAGGGGGATTTACTTGAGGACGTGCCATCTTAATGCGCCAAGATTTGGCAGTTGCACTAGTCAGGTGGGCGCCCATGGTGACATAGCTATACGAGCTTTGGTTTTTAAGGGAGAGTTCATTAAAGAAAATCATGCCTACTCAAAGCGATTCACTGCGAACCCTCAACGCTTGCTTCACTCCTCCATTGTCGGCAATATTCTCTCCTTGAGTAAGCTTACCATTCACTTTTCGACCTGTTCCTGGCACCTATAAAACCTGACCTAATTATATGCTCATGACCTTAGGTTTTAAACAGACCTCAATCCCAGCGTACTGGTCAATGATACACTGCACCCGTTGTTTATATTTTTTCTTAACATCTGCGTCCCACCAGTCGCCAATGTTACCAATCGCATCGAACTGCTGACCTGAAATCAAATATGGCTATGAAAGAGGTAAGTTGAAAAGGCAAATGCACTTCCATTAGTCGCAGAACCAGTCAAATCACCCGGCTCTCGCCGGGTGTTCCTCCTTCTTTATCACGCCAATGTTGGGAATTGGGTGACCCTCCGCGTCTAAGGTCCCCTTATCAAATCTTATCAGGTGTTATCAGCTTCTGATCATGTCCACCCCCTTTCCCCTACACCACTTCTCGAAATCAATGTCCCACGGTTGCTGCAACCTGCGCTAAGAATTTGGTGACACCCGCGTCTAGGGTCCCTTATCGGATCTTATCAGATGTTATCAGCTCCTGCCCATCTACTGCTTGAAACCAAGGTCCCCGGGGCTGCTGCAACTTGTCACGAATTTGGTCACCCTCCCCTTCTGCCCCTTAACGAATCTTAGGTGTTATACAGGTGTTATACCTCCTGTCACCCACCAAAAGTGTTCCCGTCCTGCCGTGTATATCACTTCTTGAAATCACGGTCCCGCAGCTGCTGCAACTTGCGCTACGATTTCGGTCACCCTCCCCTTTTAAGGCCCCTTATCGAATCTTATCAAGTGTTATCACCTCCTGTCACCCACCAAAAGTGTTCCTGTCCCAACCCCTATATCATATCTTGGAATTAACTTCCTAACGCTACTGGGACGGGCGCTATGAATTTCGTGACACACACACACACACACACACACACACACACACACACACACACACACACACCACACACACACACAATTAGCGGATTATAATTACAGGGGGGGGGGCAAAAAAAAATCATTCCGGCCGAGTCAAATATGAGCGAAGTTTTCGGCCCAGACAGAGGAAGTGGATATGAGTACCAGGGCGGAAGATACCCAAGATCTTCCTCTATAAGCAGGAGCCGGCTGCCGCCATTCACCTTCATGTACACCAAAATATGAAGTCATCTCCAGTCGCGGCCTGAGTGGAGAACGCCTTTGGAATTCACGTGGCCTCCAAACAGCTGCGGAACTTCTTGAATGGAAGTCACCCATGGATAGCTACCTGGAGACCAGGTACCTCATTGCGCAAGAGCCTTCAACACCGAGCAGCTCGCAACGTCGCTAACGTCAGGACATCATCTTCACGACCCATTCCACCAGGGGCGCGGTTCACGCTTTTGTGATGGTGACTGGACCCGCCGTACCTGGAATGGATGAACCGATATTTCCTTCGTGGGCTCCAGACTGAGAATTTGCGCTGGTGGCTACATCGAGCAACTCGAGGAGAATATCCTACCTTCAGTATACGTCCCGCTAACGCTTCTTGGAAACTTTGCTACTGCTCAAGGAATTGGGTGACAACAATTTAATCGAAGGGCGTTGGAAAAACTTTCGCCTACTTGGAATGGAAGAACGTTGAGTACCTGGAAAAGATGGAGTATCTAAGCGGGGGTCCTGACTAAACCCCCTAAATTACTCGGTTCGGGCGGAGCTCAACAGGGTGGTCTACAGTGGCGGAGAAATCAACGATCTCGCTCAACTCCGGTACCCACTCACTTTCGCGCGGCCGAATCTCTCGATGGCGCTCCTCCTCCAGAAGGCTGTGGCGAAGTATCATTATAGTATTTAATGTGCTCTTCAATGTGGTAGTAAAATGTCCGATAAAATTTCAATAAGTGTAACTTATAGCGGACTGAACCATCACTAATACGTTTTTCCAGTCAATTACTCAATGCAACTGTCTTTTGTACCTTCTCTTGGAAACCACAGCCCCCCCCCCTGTAGCAAATATTGCCAACACGTGGAAATGCTTACCTTACACCTCAAGCTGATGGTAAGCGAGCAATTCCAACGGACCACATTTGCAATAAGACTATGTTAATATTGTACTGAATATTAATACTGGGTTGGCCTATAGGAAATGGCGTTTTTTCTCACTCTAAATATCACGCTAAAGATGAAAAGTTAAAATGAAAAGTTTTGCTAAGTTTCTATTCCAGAGAATTTCTTGCCCTATACGATGGTCTTGTTGGTTCATTGTTGGTGGACGATGGTATGAAATCACAATGGCTGACTGGTATGTAAAAGGTTGCGTGGGAGGGCAGAGATACTCTGCGGCTGTACACGTTGGCTTCAGCACGTCATAGAGGAAACAAGTAATTCGATTAATGTTCCACATCTGAATGGAAAATGCAGGCTGAACGCAAAGTCCTTTACTCATTGGTCTTCCTTCAGATTAAGTGAGCGTTACTCGACCAGAAACCAAAACTATCGACCAAAAGCACAGAAAGCTCCTAGCCACTCAGCACCATGACTTTCTTTACAAATTGACACCCTTAGCACCCTTTCAGGAATAGCCAAGGGTACCGGTTGTGAGCAGTTTTTACGCTTCGCAAAAGCTACCTTCTTCAGTCAACGTGTTACATTGGAACAAAAAGCGCAAACAGAAGAGCACCTTGGTCATCGAATGCATGAGTAATTTCGTGTCCAATCACAGCTCCGATTCCAGCATAATTGAGCGCTCTGCAATTTTCGAGATTTATAGTGTTAGTGTAATCATACTAGCTGCTCCTAATTCCGAATTCCGCGACTCTCGAGTTTCGAGGCATTTGCACCTTTTCAGAGCGAAACGGCTCACCTTGGAAAAGTGTGATGAAAGAAAGGAGCTTGAAGAATAGCGGCTGGAAACTCTGCAATGCGGTAGCATCAAAAAGTGTATTCTCGGAACATTATTCTTTGACAGAAGGAAGCCATTACTTATCGAATTGGAGAAGAAATCGTAGTGAGCGTTGACGACTGCAGCGTTAAAGTTGTACTCATTTCGATCGACAACTTCGGTTAGGCGTTTTAAGTCGCGTTCGATGTTCCATCGTGACAGTTTCTCTATCATCTCGCTGTACGAGTCCGTTGCTTCCACGGAGAACTATCAGCAGAAAGTCAAATCATTAGCTGTCAGGCAGGATAATGTAAAAAAAGTGGGAAGAATGGCAAACCGTCTTAATATTCCAGCTTGTAGCCCCGTAAAAAATGAAACACCCGCTCCTCCGAAAAAACCACTCACGTTGTAATAGTAATCATCAAGCTTCTTGCTGTCAAGTATGAAATCTGGATAGGCGATTTGACTAAGCATTTTTCGTGCTTTCTCGAAAGCATTCTGAAAAACGCTTCCTCTTCGTAATCAATTCAGTATACTCGATCCTATCCATCTTCACTTTCTGACATATTGCATTTATGATATCTTTATTTGTCATTCGTTTTCCACCTGAAAGAGAAGAGAAGAAAGCCTCTCAACCTTAGCCACCCAGACATTTCAAAAACTTTTTCAACGACTTTTCTTAGAGACGAGTCAACTCCTTCCCTCTAGCTCGAAAGGTGATCATAACTTCGCTCCCTCGAAGTACTTTTACTGATACTAGAAGCTCAGAGATTCAGGGTGGCTGAAAAACACGAGAGCCTCCTTTTCAGTATTTCCCTGCATTCGAGCCGAAGTCTCGACGTCATCTTAGAAATTGTTGGCATTTCGACGTCTTCGTAGGTTGTGAGTTTCTTAGCTTCTTGTTATTGCGCGACCATTTGTCCCCTGTGAAGGAGTCCAGGAAAGTTGTATGGCTTGAAGCTCCACCCCTGTTTGTCAGTGAAAACTTCACTTTAAGGATGTGGAAGACCACTATAATTTTGGACACTCACTGACATAAAGATATTGGTGTTCGGACCGATTTGGAATCGGGCTACGTGCAGTGTGCTCCGATTCAGTCGTCTCACATCTAACGTCTTGCGTCGAAGCCGAAGGGGGGAAACTTCGAGTTTTTCTTGTATCTACTAACATACATACATACTGTAGCATATCCAATAGAAAATTCCTTAGCAAAAAAAATGCACATTCGTGAAAGCAGATGATATTTGTAAGCACCCATGCTTTTTCACCACACTATACACGCTCAGAGAAAAAAGAAACATAAAACCATTTCAAACCATGCTAAAATCTGATCTGAAATGCACCAACTAATGGAAGAATCAAGGGATCCATTTGAGAGCTTAAAGAAGTGAGATTCTAAACATTGTGCCATCCACACAGGCGGAAAATAGGATTCTCGCTTACTTTCGGAGAGAAGGTCATCATCCACTTGTGGGAACTGCACGCTTCACATACCAACAATGCTGAGCTATTAAGGAACGTCAGAGCCTAGACGGGACTCAAACTCGCATCTGTAAAGCTATGGCGAAAGAAGAGGCATCTAACTACGAGAGCGATCCCGGTGACGCAAGGACTAGCGCACTCGCCCTGTCAGCGGGAGGTGCGGGTTGGAGACTCGTCTGGAGTCTGGCTTTTGTCCATAACTTAGCGTTGTTGGGACAACTTTCGAGACGCGATCTGAGGTATTGACAGCAGTTATCATGCAGACAGTTTCAGCACAGTCGAACTCGTCACGTAGAGGCGAATCCACTAAACATGACTTCCATTACATCCCATTCGAAAAGAACTATGGCACTGCAACGTTTTCCGGGGAGTGATTCCGCCAATTTTACACAAACAGGAGCGGCGACAATGCTGATTGTTTTCGACTATGGTCGTGGATAGCAAGAATGCCCTCCGTTGCTAAATCGAGTAAGTAGGTAATTTAGTCATGGAAAAAGGTTTCCTTGTAGCCCAGAAATCGGATTTTCAGAGCCCTAAAGCTGCGGAAAACCAGGACGCTTATAGAAGAAATGGTGGTCAGCCTTGCGTAGGAGTCAATGGCTTAAGCAGCTAGGAAAATAATTCCGTCCAGAAAACAGCATCGTAAGGAGCATTCAGATATGTCGCGCTTTAAGCGTGTTGACTGTCGCTCTCGAACGTGCGTTGATTGTCGCCATTGAACACGCGTTGATTATCGCGCTTGAACACGCTACAATTACAAGAGCGTTCCAATTGTACCAGACCCCAGCTTCCCTTTATGTTCTTTCTTCCGGTATTCAACCCCTTTTTCACTGTTTCTCATTTCTACCTGATTCTTAGCTCCTCTTTTTCACTTTGACATTGAATTTTTGACCTTGTGATAATGATTTTGTATACCGTTTTCGACTTAATTATTCAGTCTCAGGGTTGCTATTGATGTCTGATGTCTTGCAGTGGTGCATCATGTTGATCCCGATTACGAAATTGTTTTCGTTCTATCCACGGACAGATCGCAAGCAAGCTACATTAAAATTCAATGTCAAAGTGAAAAAGAGGAGCTAAGAATCAGGTAGAAATGAGAAACAGTGAAAAAAGGAATTTACTGCACGAAAGCATAAAGGGAAGCTGAGGTCTGGTACAATTGGAGCGAGCTTGTAATTGAAGCGTGTTCGAGAGCAGCAACTCGTGTTCGAGCGCGACAATCATGCGGATCCAAGTGCGAAAACCAACGCACGTGCAAGCGCGACAAGACTGAACGCTGCCTAATGAGTAAAATGGCCGTGTACGACCGTTCTCCCGAAAAAGGATCGTTGTACGACCTTCTCCCCCTGCCGACTCTAATTGTTTGCTGTGACGATAAGGATCAAACAGCAACAATTCGCAAGAGCTACGCTGAGATCAAAGCGCAAGTGGCGGTGGAGCATAGTATTGACGTGGTGGAAATCGCGGGGTTCCTTCTGAGGGTGAAGCTTTCACAGGTGTGGCTTTTGAAAATGAAAAGTGACATGTCGAAGCAATCTCTCTACTGTTCC